TCTCAAGCCAACTCTTAACCAACTGAGCCACTCGCCTGACCTGGCATGGGTTGTTTTTTGGTTTTTTTTCTCTTAAGTATTATTTTCTGGATAAGGAGACATGGAGCAAATTTAGCTTTCTTTTTCAAAGTATTTCTGGTCCTTGAAACTTCATTCTGAGAGAGAGATTGAGATTTGAAATCCTACAGGACTTACCTATAAAACCATTTAAAAAAAAACACATGTTATTCTCTTGATTGTTTTGTCTTATTTCACCCAATATGGTTATGAGCTTTTTTTGACAGACTGGTACTGTTTTGGGCCATCCATTGCATCTATACTGTGTTGTGTATGTATTATGTGATATGTAAATATTTGCATATTTTTCTTGGGGAATACAGTTAAGTGTGAGTTTTCTTCTTGGACATATAGTAATCCACTCTATCAAACTGTAGCTATTCCCAATGACCTACTAGTTAACTTCTTAGACATGAACTCTTGGATTTGATGTTTTTGGAGCTTCATACAACTGATACCCCCTTTCTCCTCCAGCATAACCCTTCAGAAGTTTGAAAATAGCTGTTAATAGGTTTCTTCATGTTTAATAAACTGAGAGTTCTACCTATAGGCTTTGTTTTCTACATTGATTCTATGAATACAAATCTCTCCAGGGAGAGATTGTTAATGTTATCTGGTCTTTAATGAATAGTTACTGAAGACTTTCCTTCATTCATTATATTCAAAGTGTTGTTCTCCAGTGTGAATTTTCACATTTTGCAAGTGTGGCTCAATGAGTAAAGGGTTTCCTATATTCATTTCATTTAACTTTGTCTGCTGCATGTATTCTCTGGTACTCATCAAGAGACTTTCTCCTGTTAAAGACTCCTCCGCATTCATTACATGTAATAGGATTTCTTCCTTATATGAATTTTCTTGTATACACTTAAGGCCACAGCTCTAGCTGAAAGCTCTTCTAGTTGATTACAGAAATAGTATTTAATTAAGGTAGAACTCTGGCTGAAGCCTTGATCACGTTCATTACATTTTTAGGGTTTCCCTGCTATGTAAATTTTCCTGTTTCAGCCTCAAAGCTAAAACTTTGGTTGAATACTCTCCCATGTTGATTACACGTGCGAGTATGTTGAACCAATATGAATTCTCTGGTATTGTAAAAGGAAGAGCTCTAGCTGGAGTCTTGTCCAAAGTTAGAGGGTTTTTAGAGGATTTTTCTCTGGGGTGAATTCTCTTGTGTTACCTGAGTTGAGTATTGACTAAAGGTTTTCCCACACACATCACATTCACATAGGGGTTTTTTTTGGTATGGATTCTTTCATGTTGTTTAAGGAGTAAATGATTATGGAGAGTTGCCTCACAATGTTAGCCTTCCTATGATTTTTCTTCAGTATGTTTTCTCTTGTTCCATTTAAGGTATGAATGATTAATAATGTTTTTCTCCAGTATGAGTTCTTCCATGTCTATGAGTAAATAATAATGACTGTCGGATTTTTTGAAATCATTATTATTTAGC